AAGTGGGGGATGCCCAGACATGTCCCATGAGGGGGCTCTCCTGGAGAGGTCAGTCTGGTCCATGCTGGGTGAGTTCCTGAGACACAGCAACGTTTAAAACTGCACCCAACACCCCCCTTGCTCCCACAGCACAGCCCTGCTCTGTCTGGGCAGGAGGACACTGTCTTACATGTGGTGGAAAGGAAGGACTTGTAAACACAGGATGTCACAGGATTCTGGGATGTAAAAAGGAAGCAGGAAGGTGAACACTTGTGAAGTTAATGGTTGGGGAAAATAAAGTTATCAGGACTCTACACACCAGCCTCAGGTTCCCTCCCTTCACAGCAGTTCAATTTATAAGCTGCTGAAAAATGAATTTACTTTAGTGGTTTGCTGACATTGCCCACAGTGAGCTAGACTTCCCAGGTGCTCCAAGATTGTTCCTGCTCCACCAGGCTTACAGAAATTCCCACCTGGTTCAAGTTTAAGAAAACAGCAGAATAAAGTCAATCATACAAACTTCATTATTATAAAATACTGAGGAGAGTTAAATATCAATTACCCATACAGAGAGGTACCATTTTTTGTTTCATGGGGTTATTTTAGGAAATAAACTTTTACTGTTCCTGTAGTCAAACTAATTATTTTGTGCTGTATATATGATCTAATTTACTTTTTCTTTCTCCAATCAAATTCTACTATGTCTGCATGTTAGAGATGGGAATTTAGGGGGGGGGGAGAGGGAAATGCCCCAGAAGTTTCTATTGTAGTACAACCCTCAGAGATGGGTAAATGTGCTTTAGCATTTCCTAGCATTTTTACTAACTGTATAATCTCAATGTTGTATTATTTCAGCACTATCTGGCTGATCTAAATTGAAAAAATGTGTTCGACATGTACACCTAAGTGTCCCATATGCTGGAGAGGTTTTCACCTAACTGACATAAATGGGACCAAATACACTTAATTGAGGTTAAAAAGCTGTTTGCAGCAAAGGAAAAACATGGCAATGTTGTGAAAAGCTCACGATTCATACTGAGGTACATAAAAAATCAAACAGGGAAAATATACAGCTTAAGATTGTAGAGATGTAAAGAAACTAAAGCAGGCAACCAACCTTGCAGAAGAAACAAACAGGAAAATCCTTGAGAAGGGCTGAGTTCTGAAATTGCTGCCAATTCTGCAGGAAATGACAGGAACAGTTTTTAGTCCTTAACTATTATTATTCAGTTATGCATTTTTAGAAATGGGAAGCAATTAAATGTCTGAAGGAATTTGATTCAAACTTTCCAGAAAACAACAGTGTTGGCAAAAGTAAGCATGAAATATTGACATTGGTAAAGCAAACTTTCCAGAAACTGAGTGCAAATCAGGTTTTGCATATGAAATTATCTTTAATCTCAATTACAAAATAGTCACCTCCAGACATTCAACCAGGGAAGGACAAGAACAAAATGTTGGGTCCCCAGACATCTTTATGTGCCACCTCCAGCATGATTCCCAGTGCCACCCAGCTGGGGAGGCCAGTGGTGTGACTGTGCCCAGGGCAGACCCCTGGGAGCCCCACTACCCCTGGGTGGCACAGCCCATGGCATGTGGGGCTCAGGGTTCTGTGGCCTGGCCAGAAAAGTGCACTTCTGTACCCAAAACTCCTTACTGTTCTGGGGAAGGCAAGCAGATGCACGCAGATGAACAGCATCTCCTCTGGGCAGAGGAACACCTTCCTGACCAACCTGCTCACCCAACAACTTCACCTCTTTGCCTTCAGAGCTGGTCCAGTCACTGCGTTGGCTGCAGTTGTGAGAGGGAGGAGATGCAAATCTTTCCCTAACTGGTCCAGGCAAGAATGTTGAAAACCATTCTGATAATGTCAGCCCACTGGACATGGAGACTGGTCCTTCAAAACATTCCAATTCCTTTCACTGAATATCCCTGCTAGGAGCAGAAATCGATGCCAAGAAAAACCCACCAGCTTTTTGCAAGTGACTGTTGGGAGCCCCTGCCTCAAAGACAGGACCCATCACTTTGGCTGGTAGGTGACATGTAGCAGCAACCAAATTCTTTTTTGTATTGTTCCAGATGGCTGCGCTACCAGAGACTCTAGAGGTTATTTAGTAGCTAAAATTTATCTACCTGAAGCCTGACATATTAATGAAACAGCATCTTTATAGAGCTGGGGATATAAACGCCACAGAAAAGTAAGATATGGTTTTGCTCGATGGAAGAGTTTAAAAAGCTCCTTGGTAATGGCTAACTGGGCTCAAGTTCTTCTAGCATATGGGCTTGTTTTATACAGTTTATGTGGTGGTTTCTTCGTTAGATTCTCAGTGGTAATGAGCTCACACTGTTGATTGCTGCAGGGAGAAAAAACTCATTCTGAATAGGTTTGCTGAATAATTATGAACTGAGCTGAACTCTTACATTTGCTTACTAATTGTACGGTTTGTGATGTTTAATGTATGATGCATTCGTTTGGGGAAAAAGGGATTTTTTTTATTTATTTTTTTTTTTTTTTGCTGAGCAGCAACTTTTCTCTGTGCAAGTTAAACCAGCACAGTGGAAAGAGTTGAATTCAAGGCTGATGAATTCATGTTTGAATTATAAAAAAAAAAACACAAAACCACAAAAAAACCCCACCAAAACCAAAAAAAACCCCATCAGCCCCACCATTTGGTTTTCAGAGCTTGCACTATGAAACCCAAAATTGTGCTATTGTCTTGAGAGTTGAAATAGATTAATTCCCTCAACTTCGAATTTGGCAAGAGCAATTACTATTGTTAATTTAGAAAATAATCCCCTGCAGCTACAACTATTTAAATAATGCCTTTCCCTGCTTCCCCCAAGATGACCAAAACCCAGAGATTGAAGGTAAAAATATGTTTTGTAAAATATACTTTTCATTACTCAGTACAATTTGAGAGAAGCATCCTTCTACTTGGCTGGGCAACTGGGACTCTGTGTCCATGGTGCTCCCAGAGGTGCTGGTCACAGCCCAGGGCCACCCTCAGCTGGAGCTCCCTGGTCAGGGCAGATTGGCAGCCCCAGGCACAGGCAGCCCAGGACAGGTCTTCGAGTTAGAAGCAGGGCTAAGCTGCCTTCCACTGTGTTTAACAGATAGTGAATGTTTTGCCACAAGCCTGTACGAGGCTGCAGCTAGCAAAGAACCTTACCACTTCCATCAGCTCACTGTTTTTACTGTCAAAATATTTAGGCTGATATGATTTCCATCTTTGGCACTGGGCAGCCACGCTGCTCCCAGGTGCAGCACATCCCTGCAGGGCTGCTGGGCTGAAACTCTCAGTCTTTAAATGCACTCTGGGAAGATGCTGCTGCCTGGGGCAGAAGTGCAGGAGCAGAAAAGCTCCCGGGGAAGCAGTTGGGAAGGAGCGAGCTGTTGGCTTCTGCCTGCAGAGCACAGCACCAAGCCTTGCTGCTGGCCCTGACAGGGATGCCAGCAGCTCCTGCAGGTGGGCACAGACCCAGGAGAAGGAGGGAGGAGGATTAATGCTTGCCCAGATGCATTCGAGATGGTCAGCCCATGGACCCAAGGAAGTCTTCATCTCTCTAATTGTATTCACCTTCCCCGTACCATCTCTTTCAGAGAAGCCATGCTTGCTCCACTTGAGGAACAAGCCAATTCTGAATATTCCAGGAAATGCAGGATAAATAATCTTAGTAAAAATCTCTTTCCTGAAGCACTTGGTCTCTCCCATGGAAGCCAATGTTACAGGAGGTATCAGTGAGAGACACAACAACCTGGTTGCAAGAGCTGCAGTTTCAGATGGGCCTGAGGTCCCTTTACATCAGCAAAAGTAATTCCTCACAGCAGAAATGCAGCTGCCTTACTAGAGCAAGTAACTGTCTTCACACTTGTGATACAACCTTCATTGTGTCTGTGGTGCACAGAGGACTGGCCATTTCCCCAGAGAAGTAACTGCATCTAACCACGATGATGAAGCTATGATAAAAAAGGGTCAACTACACATGAAACTCACCATGATTACAACAGTAAGTATTATCTCTGATAATACTCCTGACAGATATATTGTCCAACTGGCATGTAGCATCTTCCATGGAAAGTATCTCTTTCTGCCACTCTAGGGGACACACACCAGCAAGCGATGGTGTTGGCTGAGGTGGTGTCACTGCCCGGGGTGGGTGCTTTGCTCACCCATCTGTCCCAGCAGGGGCTGATCATGTTCCTTGCCCGCATTAAAGACTTACCAGCCAGAGCCTCAGCCTCATTGTGCAATTCTGTACTGGCAGGGCTGGCATTAAAACACCAATATTGTTTTGGTTTACAATGCTCTTACTTGTTCTGTTGCCCTTGCTGTTTTGATTGGCACTCTTAAAATTAATCCAGCTTTTTTGTTTTTCTTCCCGTTTTTAAATTGGATGCTGTTTTGGCCAGAAAAATACTGGATAGTAAGGGCAAGAGGTACGTTTCAGGAACCAGTTTCTCTGCTGGGACAGGATCTGACTCCCAGGCAAGTCAGCAGGAGATGTTTGGGTGTGGACAGAGCGCTCCTGGGGCAGCTGGGACGGGCACGGGCTGCCAAGCCGTCAGGACAGCCCTGTCGGGTGGCTCTGGGGCGACCGGAGCTGAGCCCGACGCCAGAGCAGGGACCGTCCCGAGCTGCGCCCAGCCCTGGCTTATGTGTGGTCAGTGGTG